AATTAATTTTCCATGCAACCCGGCAATAATATTGTATTATTGTATTGTATTAAATTGCATTGTATACCTAGTAATGTATACGGTAATCGGAAAAAAAAAGTCCAGGTAAAAAAAGTTCAACACTAGGAAAAAAAAGTCCCGAAAAAAAGTAAGTTGTGCTTTGTATTTTAGTGTTTAATGAATAAAATGCTTGTACATATTATATATTTTTCATCTACCATAATAAGTAATAAATAAAAGAAAAAAAAGTTTCCTGGAAAATTTACCAAAATACTTATTCTTATGGTACTGCAGTTGTACAGTTGTACTTTGTACCTACTTATTGTAGTGTGTATAAATGTATAGGTGGTTGTATGTATAAAATAAATTTGTTATCTACCATAATAACTATCATAAGCCATATATTTTGATCTTATATTAATTTGTACACTAGAAAATTCCCCATTTCCGAACATCAGACACAGTCATGATATAATATGTAATAATGAGACTGTTGTCAGTCTTTTGGATGACATCGTATAATATCGTATCGTATCGTACGTTTATACGTTTTTTTTAAATTGTATATATTATTTTATTTCTATTTGGAAATTAATAAGAAAAATAAAAATGGAAATTTCAGCAGATGAAGCAAAATTAGCTTTAGATGCTGTAGGAGAGTCGAAAACTGTTAAAAAACTAGGGCAAACTCGGACAGTAGAAAAACGTCTGCAAAATGATGTATACAAATACAAGCAGGCAATATCGGTGTATTAGATTTCTTAACAGGCGTAAGCCATAATATAAGGAAGAGGTGTACCTAATTATAATATTCATTTTTATCGGGACTTTGTATTAAATTAAATTAAACTATATTTTAATATGTGATTTAAGTAAGTAATTAACATTTTTTTATGATATTATATGACTTTTTATGTATTTATATATTTATCGGGACTTTTTTTTCCTAGTGTGGGACTTTTTTTTCCGCGATTCAATGTATACACGCAAACATAGACAGTATATACAATACACTACGCACGCAAAGTAGAACAATATTATTCTAGGCACGGTGTAAATAATTAGGTACTGATGACATTTATGTATCGTGATGGTAGGAACCTGTTCAATTCCATTTATTTATTCTCTTTGGAAATCATTAAGTTTAATCACGACGTAGATAAAATCCCTATCTAGTATCTACAATTTATACTTTTCACACGTCTGGTATTTGAATTCCATATTTCTTTAACGGTTGACACGGACACACGGTATCAAAATTATTTTGTCATGTTACTATTTCATAATTCGTGTAATGTAATTTATTATTTTCATATTTCATGACAAGTTTACAAGGTCAATTTATTTTGTCATCGTGCCGACTTAACCCATAGGCCCGCGAAGGATCTAACATTTGAACCGCAGTTAAATAAAAACGTCCAATCTGCCGAGAAGGCGACTTAAAACTTTGTTTCTTTCACTTTCGTCTCTCACGTCGGACCGGTAAATAGCCATTGCGATAAATTATTTTATTAGTATTTAGTGATGAAAACGTACACATGAGTCCACTAATCAGGGTTCAAAAAACCTAACACTGTCGGGTTTTAATGATTTTTTTCCTCTAAAGTATAAACACTGACTTATCATACTTATTGTTTATTGTTATGACTTATAAGTCTAATGTATTCAAGAAATGTTAAATTATAATATTTAAATGTTTTTGCTTATATTAGGTATACTAGCTGATCCTGTTCACTTTGTTGCCCGTTAAAAATGGCCAACCCTAAATTATAATTCTAACTTTGTTCAATTTGTTATTTAATGTTCGGTGTAATGGTGTTCAAAACTTAAAAATGTTCATTATTATGATTATTTTATGAATGCCTTTACCTCATCTGCCCAAGATGGTATCCATTTCTACTTATTATTTATCCTATAACTAATAGCAACCATTTATAAATAAAAATTGCCATTGTAAATCTAAAAATCCCTGTTTGAGCACCTCTCCAGGTTGGACCTACCGGGTCAAATTGTGAGTCTAAACATTCTACACCATTCAGGGACTCACTCAAAAACACAGCAAATCGGTTAAGCCGTTTAGGAGGAGTTCAATGACTTTCTGACAAACATTCATTTTTATACCTATATTATATAAAAAGTATGAAATAAAGCGAAAAACTCTTTAAAATAAAACAACATATTTTATTGTAAGAATTATTATTGTTATATTTTGTCTTACCTATGTGTTCTTTACTGGGTTTGGCACCCTGGCACGAATAAAGTCTCTTAAGGCACACTCTAACAGCAAGTCAGTTGTTTCGTAATTGGTGTGGTCCAGTTGTAATTAATATTGTTCACATTATTGTTTTGGACGTCCCAAAGTCTGCGGTTTTCGTGTTTTTTCTTTTAATCATTTCCTCCAATCAGTGGAGTTAATCGTTTACCAATTAAAAATCTGATTCTTGATTGTCAGAGTTCAAAATTGTCCACTGGAGGTTGCCCACTCATATTTTATTTTATTTATTTACTAAGACTAAACAGACCCTTTTTTTACAATTTCAGTAAATACACATTTACTTAAACATAACTATACATTTACAATAAGATAGTGCCTACATTAAACTTGTATCATAGGCGTGCGAACGGGTAGGGCTGATTGGGCTTTAGCCCCACCTGAGATTATTTATACATGGGTGGGTTGATATCTTATGAAGATATGACTAAAAGTATGTATAGTTCATTTAGATTATAATGTTTGTGTTTACCCGAGACTTTATACAGGGCGATCCATTTAAAATTAAACACTCTTTATTTCAAAAAGTGTAATAATGGTTTTTGAAAATATTATTTTACTAGTTTCAACAACTTTGTTATTGAAAAATTATATTTTAAAATATTTTTTATCCTTCTAATTTTTTATTTTTTATTTTTTAAATCTTAAATTTTTTAATGACAACAAATAATTTTAATTTCATATTCCAAAGCAGAATATTTTTCTAAGTATTTCTAAGCATAAAAATTAAATTAAAAAAAAAAAGTAGTTTATGTGTTATAAGTATTTAAGGTTTAGATGAGCCGAGTTGAGTGGTATGGGGTTATCCACTAAATTTATTCCCACTACTCCGCTCATCTAAACTTAATACTTAATAAAGTCATAAATTAATAGCCTTACACAGTCTATCTCAAATGAATAATTTATAAAAATAAATAAATATTAATGTTAATTGACAGTTTTTAATATTATATTTTGAACGTTTTTGAATAAATTGTTTTATTAGATTATAATTGGTTACAATTTTAAATCAATATTGATAAATTTTGTTTATGTGAAATAATGAAAACTGATTGTTTATACATTTTCCAGTCACCAACAAAAGCGTCACTTAAAAGTTGTAGTGAAAAAGTCTATAATTTTTTTCTCGTGTGACCATGACAAGGGGTTGGGTGATCAGATTGAAGTTAGCCATACCAGACTCAAAGGTCTGCGCACGCCTATGACTTGTATATAGTATATACCTACTGTGAAGTTGTTAATTTATTTTAAAAGGTGGGGAGGGGTCCGCATTGGAAATTGACATTAAACGCCTTGTGGGTCATTTATATATAGTTTGTGGTTGATAGTAGAATGGTATAAAGGGTTAAATGTCAAACAGTTTGTTAAGAGGACTTAATACCCGCATGTGTTGTCTCCGTCTAACAAGCGCATAACATAACAAATTGTACACTTAGCAGAACGTGTGTAGCTCATTAATTTATAAACAATTATGAGTATTTTAAGATGTACAAACAATTTACAATTTTAAAATACTCACAACTCGCTTTAAAATTAAAATATAATTAAAAGCCCAACCACTCTAATGTTTAAACTAACGGAGCTATACGTGTTCTGCTGAGCGTACAATTTGCTATGTTACGCACTTGTAAGACAGAGGCAACACGTGGGAGTATCGCATCCTCTTAAGAAAAGTTAAAATTAATTAAAAACAGGAGTGTGGGTGAGTGTATTTTCCCAAATAGGATGTTACTTTGAAAACTGGTGGTTTAGTGTATGTCTGCGATTAGCGAGGTATGCTGCTCAAATTCTCTGGACAATGGATACATTTTTCTAACCCTAAGTACCTAATCAAATATGTAGCTATAAATAACATGGTCTTTGGTGTTTTTTTTTTAAATGTCCAGTATAAAATATATATAGTGAAACGTTTGTAGTACAGTCACCGTTAATAGAATAACACTCAAATCATTTTTTTATTCAGTAGAGGCAATCCTAGAAATTTACCTTCCATCTATAATTTATTCCAAACATGTCTATTTAGGTACTGATCTATGGGTTAAAAATATTCAATATTAAATTTAAAATATAATTCTGTAAGCATATAACCTCTACCGGCTACTATAGGATCCATCATAATATACACACTTACCAACAAATTGTTTAGAGGGTGCAGGTCCCCCACCCTGTGCCAGGGGATTTGCGCCACTGAGCTCTATGAAACTACAACAAATTACCATTAACTTATTGTCATTTACCTCTAGTAATTTGAATACACTCAAGATTAATTCTACGTGTTTACTTTGGGTTACCGTAGTATATATTTTACTTGTAACATTAAAATATTAATTTTTGTAGGTAAATGGTGCATACTATAATTAATGATTTTATTTGTATATTTATAGTATAGTAATGGTAGTTGGTATAGTATGTTATTTTATAAACAAATACAATGTATAGGTATAAATTTATAATTATTTTTTACATTTATAAATACCCTAGGGTAGAGAGCCTTTATATAATAATATAATATTATTTATATATATATTTATTTATTATCTAGGCTCTACCCTAGGGTATTTGCATATTTATTTTGAAAGTTATTAGAATAAACCTGATTCAATTTAAATTTGTTTTTGTTGCTGATTTTAAAGTGAAAAGTTATTAGTGCAACATTATTATTTTTTCCCTAAACATGCCTATTTCCAAAATGAATTGATTTTTACCTAATATCAATAACATTTAGTTCATGGATTCTAACAGATTTTTTTTATTGTTTCAGTTTGTATTTTTGTTAATCTCCAATTATATTCTTATAATGGCTGTAGTCGAAGAAAAACATGAAATTGGATCTCAAAATGAAGTTGTTCAACACATAGAAAAAACAATGAAAGAAATTTATTCCAAACGACTTTCAAGTCCTCAGTGGAAAATAAGTGATTTTGAAATTGGAACACCACTTGGTCGTGGGAAATTTGGTCGTGTATATCTTGCAAGGGAAAAAAATACGGAATATATGGTTGCTTTAAAAATGATGTTTAAATCAGAATTAGTAAAAGATCACATGGAACATCAAGTGCGACGAGAAATTGAAATTCAAACACATCTTAGTCATCCCAACATTTTAAAATTGCTGACTTATTTTTGGGACGAAAAGAAAATATATTTAATTTTAGAATTTGCCCAAGAGGGTGAATTATTTAAAGTATTGAACGCGCAGCCACATAAACGTTTTGATGAACCAACAGCTGCATATTATTTACGGCAAGTAGCTGAAGCTTTGAGATATTGTCACTCACAAAGTGTTATTCACAGAGATATAAAACCAGAAAATCTTCTATTGTTTAGTCATCATGTTGTGAAGTTGGCAGATTTTGGTTGGTCTGTCCATGCACCATCCAAAAGTCGAAACACCATGTGTGGCACTATTGATTATTTACCACCAGAGATGGTTGACTCTCAAACATATAACGAATATGTTGATAATTGGTGTTTAGGGGTGCTATGTTATGAATTTTTGTGTGGAGCTCCACCTTTTGAGAGCTCAGAACAGGCAGAAACTTTTAGAAAAATTCGTGCTGTGATGTATGGTTTCAAACCTCATATGAGTGAGAGCTCTAGACAATTAATTTCAAAGCTTTTGCTTAAAGTCCCAAAGTCTAGATTACCACTAACTGAGGTCATTGAACATCCATGGATTAAAAAAAATTGTGAAATATTTACTAATACTAAACTACCATTAAATATCTACTATTAAATATTATATAAAAAATGTATTAATTATCCAATACTGAAGAACTTTTACCATTAAATTGTATTTTTTTCTATCAATATGCCATTCTTACAACCATTCAGTATTTTAAAACTAACTAAAGTTTGTACATAAATTACTAATGTATTAATAACCAATTTAAATGTTAGCATCTGTTTCTATTGTAAAATTGCAATATGCATAACATTTTTTTATGATATTTAAGCTATTTTAATGAAATTTTCAGAATTTAAATAATAGCTTTTAATATATTGTATTATATAATTGAATATTAATAATAGTTAAGAGTTTTAATGTATTTAAAACAATTGTTTAATATTCTGTAATTTATACTAGTTAAAACAATGTATTTTTTTTTTTTTTTGATTTTGTCTAATTTTGTTTTCAAAATGTTGTACCTAAATTGTACATTATTTTATAATATTACACTGATTACCATGACAAATTCCAAAGCATTCAAATTACTAAAACAAAATCAATAATATTAGTTTAATTAGCCCTTATTCAGGATAATTTGGGCCTTAGGGGTTCAAAGGCATGCGAGTCCCATGAATCCTCTATATATTTTATAGATGCTTTTTATACAATCATTTTGATTGTTCTTAGACATTTTTAATGATGAAAGTGATTGTATTTTGAATAATATAATTGCTAGGTACCAGCTATTATACATTGTATTAATAATTTACCTCACATAGTTGTACTAGCGGTGGGCACCATGAATCATGGGGTTAGTACCTTATACAACCTACTTAAATATGTCTATCATCTTACCCGTATAAGACATTATAGTATTAGTACCTATATTTATAAGTTTGACCTCCCCCCTGTATACGTGCCTGGAGACAGGGAAAACTATTAAAATTAAATTGCAAAGTCATCCCAATCAATATAGGCAGTGTTGGGGAGTAACTTAAGTTCTTAACTTAAGTTACAAGTTACTGTAACAAAATTACTTTTTAAGTAATTTATTTAATAACTTTATTATCTTCTTCTATATACATATTATATAAAAATGAATTGCTGTTCGTTAGTCTCAAGTTCTCAACAGTGTATTATAATTTATATTGGTTGCTATTGGCATTGCTATCTATACTGACTATACTCAATGCTATTGGTTAATCGGGCATGTTTGTTGATTTGTATTATTGTTGTTGTTTTATTTTTATTTTTATTTTTTAACCTAACATAACCGAGTAAGATTTATACGAAAGACAATTTTAGGAAAGTCCACCGGAAAAGTAGAAAATTTGAATGTCAAAAAATACAATAGTGGCGCCATCTGTCCAGAAAAAAATTAACTAAATAATACATTTAGTTTCAGATTAAAATAATAATAGTGTATTGTATATTGCTTGCTATTGGTTATGGTCGTTAAGGGCATGTTTGTTTATTTGTATTATTATTATTATTATTAAAACAGCCGTTCTCGATTGATGAAGTAACATACATTTTTCACGCTCCATTTTTATATATTATATAGAT